GCTGATATAGCTATGCTGACAAAACTCTGTAGGGTAGATCCAGCCACAATCTCACCTATTACACCAAGTGTAAGATAGTTGAATAGGCATTGAATCATGTGCAAGGAATGTTTTGTGATTGGCATCTCTATCTTAGGGAATCTAGCCTGAAAAACTGAAAATTCAGTTTCAAATTCATTTTCAAAGTCTTTATTTTAACCAAAGCAAGGCCAAATTGAGATGAATTCACAAAATATTTTAGTTGTCCAAAATCTGCATTTTTGGGCAAAATAAAAATTATGGTTAACAGTTTCACTATTCTATTGCAAATAAATACAAATAAATGAAGATACATTTTCCCCTTCAATTAGTTAAGCACTTCAGGCAGGGTTTTTGGAGACCCAACATTGCAGCCATACAGCAAAGAGGGAAGAAAAACCATAAGGTAAGGGGAATGAATTAGTCATGAACCACTCAGCCATATTTTTTATTTCAATCTTGTATGCAAAATTATGTAGAATTCCAAAACATTAGGTCCATCAGGGAACCCGTGTGCTTTCAACAAAGCTTTTCAGAGACCATTTATTTTCTTAATCAGAGCTTGTATTTAGCTATCTACAGCAAAGTTGGGTAACTACTGCCCAGCCTTTGATCAAAGTTTTTATTCCAAGAGTGACATCTAGTGGCCTAGGTCAGTGTTTCTCAACCAGTGGTATGAGTACCCTCAGGGGTACTCGAGAGAAGTCGCCCCTCAACACAATTGAAATTTGGAGAAAACTGAATTGGTGTTCAGTTTTACAGCGCTTTATTTTTGTACTCTTTACACCCAAAAATTTCAACCACCCGGCTAGGATTAAGTTGTTTAAACAAATGTGTTTCAATGGTAGACAAGAAAAATGGTTCTGAAAACTGTAGGTACTGGGGGTACTTTTAAAAAAAATAAAATAAAATAAAATAAAATAAAATAAATAAATAAATAAAGGGGATACGTTAAAAAAACGGTTGAGAAACACAGGCCTAGATAATGGTATTGTAGCTGTGTTGGTTCCAGGATATTAGAGAGGTAAAATGGGTGGGATAATGTCTTATTGGACCAACTTTTGCTAGTGAGAGAGACAAGCTCATACAGAGCTCTTCTTTACCTTGTCTCTTTTACCAACAGAGGTTGGTCTAATAAGAGCTATTATCTTACCCACCTTGTCTAGTGGCTTAAGACGTTAACTATCAAGGATTTTATGGCTACTGAAAGAAATTGCTTCAGACAGTCCAGAGGGATGCCCACATGGCATTTTGGAGCAATCCTTCCCACCTGGGTTGACCTATCATTTTTCATTGTCCAGTCAGAAGTCAGGGTACTAGGCTTGATGGGCCTTTGGTCTGACCCAGCAGAGTCATTTCTTATGTGCTAGCACTCAGAAAAGGTGTATAGCCAGTGCTTTGAAGTTGCAACACAGGCTCTGAAGCCTGGGGAGACGGGTGGACTTCACAGCCCAAGCTGAAGCTTCAAAGTGCTTCCTATATGGGAGCGCTAACCTGGACCCCGCCAGGTAAAGTCTGTTGACCATGGCTGGAGGGCGTGTTTCCACTGGTTCCAAACTGTTTTGCAGACATACTACCATGTCATACTCTTATGTACCTTACCTGCCTAAAATCATGTGGTTTGGGATCACGGTAGATGCCACTCTTATATTTTCCATTCTCAACAAACATTTTAGCTGCCTCAAATGAGCCTATACGCGGAAACCTTGTGACAAGCTTGGGTAACTCTTTCTTCCTTTGCAAAGCAGGGTAGAACTGGCTGGTGTCTATCCTTGGCAGACATTGCTTAGTCTCAGGTTCTTTGTTATTGAGGGTATCCAGCCCTTCCTTGTCCTTTCCTGGTGCCTTTCTTGAAAGTGTGGAAGATGTATAGAGTTTATAACTAAAATCTGGAGGCTGCTTTTGCCATCTATCCCTCTGGGGGATGGCTTGGAGCTGCTGTACAAAACTTTGGTTGTGTGCAAAGGCCAAATCCAGATATGCTGAAAATTTGATTTGTCTCTCAAAAGAGAACATGGGATGTCTGCCTTCACAGCGAGGGGTGAACATTATGGGATCTTTCCTTGCCGGTATTTTAACCCCTGGGAGAAAGAAAAAAAAAAAAAAGACAACATGCATCTGATTAATGATTGTTCTGCATGGGTTTCACACTGATTACATGCCCAGTGCTGTACAGTTCTAGTGCAGCTCAGATAAATGAATGCCTGTAAAACTTCGCTCTTCATTACATTTCATTCAATATCAGTATTTAGATTAATATCATTGGGTGGTCATATCTGGAAGAGGGATAGGATGGGTCTGTGGTTCTGGCACCCAAATGGGACTCTGAAACTAGGTTCAATTTTTTGCTCCACCAGATATTCAGTTCTAGTCTATATAGGCCCCTCTAGCCCATTTATCACCATGCTATCTGGATTGCCTTTTATGAGTCCCAAAGGCCTCACGTCTGTAAGCTGACTGGAACAAGCAAACACTTAAGGCCACTTAGAGCCTCATTAAAATCAGCTGGGTAAGAGAAAAGTTAAGATTGTCATGATTATTTTTAGTAAAACTCAGACAGGACATGGACAACAAACAAAAATTCACAGAAACCCACAGCCTGTCCCTGACTTAGTAACAGTAACAAAATGATTAGGGAGAAGAGTCAGAGGGTGTCTGGGCATTATGGGGCCAGTGGCTAGGATCTGAGGGGACCCCTGCTGCCTGCAGCAGCTGTGAACTCTTGGGTCCTCCCCAAACCTGTGGCAGCTCAGAACTGTGGGTCTTCCCTCAGACGCTGAGCACACCAGTGTCTTCCCACCCCCTAGGAGCTCCAGGACCTTAGCTGGCTGACAGCTCCAGCCCCACCACCCCAGGGCTGAAGTGGAAAGTGTCACAGAGGTCTCTGGAAGTCATGGTTCCGTGATCTGTGACATAATCGCAGGCTTAGGTCTGAGCACAGGGATCAGTCTGTGGATGTCAGCTTGTAGGATCAGGATTTTGATCCTGCTGTGCCTTAGTTCCTCATCTCTAGAATGGCGATGGTAATGCTCTCACCAAGTGTTTTTTCTCCTCTATTTAGGATGTGGCTAAAAGCTGGGATGTACAGCTTTTACAGTGCACTAGCCTAGGACTGCCAAGTGTTTGGGTTTTGACCAGCATACCTGGTCAAAGGGAACCTGGTGGCTCCAGACAGCACTGCTGACTGGGACAAAGAGTCCAGCTGGCAGGGCAGCAGAGCAGGCAGGCTCCCTAACCTGGCTGCATGTAGCTCCCAAGAAGCTGGTGGCATGTCTGAGAAGCTCTGCACTTTGCTCCTGCCCAAAGCAATGGATTCACTGCTCCCATTAGCTGGGAACCATGGCCAATGGGAGCCGTAGGGGCAGCTTGCGGAGTTCCTGGTCATATCACCACCTAGGAGCTAGAGGAATATGCTGGCCACTTCCAAGAGTCACCTGAAGTAAGCCTCCCATGGAGTTTGCATCCCTCACCCCAACTTCCTGCACCAGCCCTAACCCCCTTCCACCTCCAGCTCCTTCCTAGGGCCTGCACCCCCTTCTAGACCCAAACTCCCAGTTTCAGCCCAGAATCCCCACTTGCACTTCAAACCCTTCGATCCCAGCCGAGCCCCTTCCTCTACCCCAAACCCTTCATCTTTGGCCCCACCCCAGAGCCTGCACCACTAGCTGGATCCCACACCTCCTTTCACATCCCAACCCTTTGCCCCAGGCAAGAGCTCCCTTACATCCCTCATTTCTGGCCCCAACCTAGAGCCCACAATCCCATCTGGAGCCCTCGCCCCTCTATCTGCTCCAGCTTGATGAAAGTGAGCTAGTATGGGTGGGGGAGTGAGCAATGAAAGGAGGGGGGATGGGGTGAGCAGGGTCTTGGAAAAGGGGTGGGGCCTCTAGGAAGGGACGGGGCAAGGCTATTTGGGTTTCTGGAATTAAAAAGTTGGCAACCCTACACTAGCTGCCATGTAGTAACTCTCCATGGGGACTCTAGGGTGCATTGACCTACTCCTTGTTCAAAGCCGACTGAGTCACACTAAGGAACTTTTAATTTTCAATAGCGGTGTCCATGTGGACTGCTATTATGTGCAGTAGTAGTGCACTGTAGATTTAGCCACAGCCTTGCTATGCTCTACCTGTTCATTTAGACAAGCTCTTGGACTGCAAAGTTCTTCAAAGCAGACTGTTAGTAGGTATAGATACACCATCCAGCACAAAGCAGCCTTGATGTGAGCTAGGCCCTGTAGGCAGAGTTGATAATGTTTTACACCCACCTTGATCAAGTATAAATGACCACATCAGGTGCAAGGTGGAGGGGAAAAAAAATCAAGCCCCTGGACACTTTCTCCATCTGCTTGGTGAAGGAACAGAACTGGGGTAGAAGAAAGGCAGCTTTATGCCAACTTTGTGGTTCTCCATATTCTTGTATTTGCCCACACCACACTGCTCTAATTCATACCCAGCTTCTATGACCATCTAGAAACTGCTGCATCAGCCCAGCATAGCTAGCATGCAACTGTACACACCAGCTCTGCCCTTTCCTCCCAAGCTCGTCATATATTGAGGGCTGTCAGGGAGGCAGCCCTCACTACACTATCCAGGGAAACATTGCTGCTAAGTGGAGAGATCTGATCCTCATATAGATCCTTTATCCCACTGGAGTGACATTAGTGGAATGATGGGCAATAGAGGATTTTTCCCCCCAATGCCCCTACACATGGCTGTGGCTAAATGCACAGAGGAATTCCCATTGATCTCAAAGACAGTGCTATAATTAATTTCCTTTTCTTTTAACACCGTTTTAAAAGTTCGTTTAATGAATTCCTGGCATCTCAGGCAACATTTTGAAAAACTGCATTTGATTTTAATGGCATTACATCAGAAACTTGGCCAACATATTAGGAGCCAGTGTGCCAATAAATCACAATGTTCACATTTTCCCCCTCCTTTCTTTCATATTACTAAGGAAGCCTACATAAAATTTGGAATCTTGCTGCTTAGATGAACAAATGCTCTTGCTGTTTATCATTCAGCCCTTTAAAGTCATAATCTCCTAGGACATCACAATCAATTCTTGGACATATCTGCATGAGATCACAAAGGATTTGGATTAGAGAATGGCCCAAGTGAAAACCCTCAAAGTCTTTAGAGGCTATTTGCATCCACATCAGACTTTGACAGGCATTATACAGCTAGATTTGAACCCCAGAACTGAACTTCTGAAGAGTCAATTCAATTCAGAGTGACTTGGGCACGCTCCAGGACCTTATCTCCATTAGAGAAATTCATAAATATGCTGGTCCAAGTATGGTTTATGTGAAAGTGGCTTCAATGGATAACCTAGGAGAGCAAATTGTACCGGCAAAAGCCATGTACTGCATTACTGAAGCCCTATGCATTAGGTGTTGTTTGCACCAGTGTAAATTGCTCCTCTGCAAGTTGCTTTAATGTGAGCAGTGCCCAATGACGACTTCAAGTACAGGGCAGGTGAACTCCTGAGCAACAAAGACCTCATCTGAATGTAAATGTGCAGAGCATTAGGAAACAGGGGGGGGGGGGGGGGGGAGAGAAATTCTTAGAATCCAACATTTAGAGTGATCTCATTGGGTCTCAAATGGATGACTGACCACAATCAAAACTATCCTGAAAACCTTCAGAGGGATAGCTGAGTTAGTCTGTAACGGGAAACACTTAAAAAAACCCACAACAACCACCACCACCACCACGTCTAGTAGCACCTTAAAAACAAACAAAACATGTACATGGTATCATGAGCTTCTATGGGCACAGCCCACTTCTTCAGAAGACTGGTGCATGCTGGGCAGGCCAGCCCACAGGTCTCCTAAGCACCAGTCCTCCACCAGAATGCTTTGGTCTGGACCAGAGAGTCTCACTTTTCAGAGGTTCAAGCTGTATACTTAATTGCCAGGCGCACACAGATCCATGCATGTGGTGACAACCACAAAAGCAGCCTCAAAGAGAAGCATCAACAGACGTGTTTAAGAGACACCACTCACCACTGTAAAGTCAGGTCTCTCTGGCTGTATCAGAGGCAGGCTTGTCTTCTCCACAGCGCTAGGGGACACTGAGCAAAGAGATGAACTCACAGCACATGTTTATTCTGGAAGCTGTTTATTCTTTTGTTGCACTAAAGAGCTCCAATGTATAATCTGGCTCGGCCCCTCTGGGTTGCTAAGAAACAGGATCATTTTGCTTCAGGGCTTGATTGAGAATTCAAAAATGAAAATAGTGCCTCTCTCGGTTGCATAAATTTAACTTGAAGCCTAGCAACAAGGCCACAAGTTCACTGCTATTGTTTCAAATGTTAGAAAACAGAAAATATGATATAAAAGAAATATGATCCAGGGAGAGAGAGCGGCTAGTTGAAAGGAGAGCACATCTGCTGTATTTTGTACAGTGTCAAGCGATGGAATTGTGCAGAATACACTTTTCTCTCCCCCCTGAAAATATAGTGCCCAAACCTTTACCACACTGCACCTTTTTTTAGTCACATACAAGCACAGTCAGGGCTGGATTTACACCTTATGCACTTGTAGGCACGGTATCTTCAGCAGACCCCTGCCTACAGCTGACCTGTGTGTTGCACATAGTTGGAGAGGGGTCAGGAGCCCTTATAACGCGGTCACTCCTAAACATGTGCCTAATTGGAAATCCAGCCTGCTGTGTGTAAAGCAGCTGTGGATGAGAATGACGACATTTTCTACTGATAACTTTGCATTGGTATAAATGACAACAAGGTGCAGGGCAATGGAGAATAAGTTCCTCCATTTGCATTTCATTTTGTAACTAATCACCCTCCCCTCCCCCATCCACTAGAAGGGCACCATCCTACAACTGCATAGATTATACAACTTTAAGGAAAAAACTAATACACATATACACATGCACGTGCGCCTGAAAATACTCTGTATTTGCAATGTGTGATCACAGTATGCCTTTAGCACAAAAAATTGCCAGTGATAAATTGTGAAGTTATAAGTACATTACAATGTTCATCCACCTCCATGTCCTCTGTTTAATTCACATGGGAAAGCTTAGCATGCTACAAACATTTAGTTACAAAACTGGTTTCAGATTGCCATTCAAATTTTAACCTCAGGCCAGGACCCCAGAAAACATTGCAATTCTAGGTCAAGCTTTTGAGGAAGACTGGGCTGAGTGAGTTATGACTTTCAGCTTGGAAAACCTTGGATAGTTTCTTGGAGGGAATCAAACATATATAGACTCACTCTAATTTTAACATTGTAATCTGGGGTGAGAAACCCCAAAACATAATGGAGGCATCAAGTTGTGCTACCTCCAAAACTAGGTGACCATTCAAACTTCTGTCACCACATTATTCTCACACAGAGAGCATTGCCTCTAAAAGAACAGCCCGATTCAGTTTGTTCTTACTCATGAACAAAACTGGAGCAACTCCAGTGACTTCAGATGATAGATTACAAATTCATGTAGGCAGGACCTTTGTCCTTTAAAAGAACAGCATTAATATATAGTAGGGCAAAATGCAGCTGCTGATGGTTTCAAGGCAGTTTCAATTGACATGTGAGATAAGGTTTTGGATTTGAAGGAAAGATCATGCAGGCATGCTGAGTTAAAATCAGGGATGTATTTGCATAATCTTCTACAAACCAGCACCGCTGAGATTTCAGTTTCATTGAAGAGAAAGTGCCTTCAACCACAGTTTTTCCACTTCATGAACACTAGATGGCAGCCTATTACCTGCTATATCAAAAAAGAAAGCTGTGAAAATTATGAAAGAAACTTTTTGCTATAGATATGTAGTGCAAGGGAGCCTGTATTTTTCTAATCAAAATAACCATACATTTGCAGCTAAATGCAAGCCACCGTTTCAATTAAATATGAGCAAGCAGACCATGTAGCACAGCAGATTAAACAAAGTGAAACTAAGAGGATTCTAAAACAAAATTCAGGACTATGTAGCACTTTAAAGACTAACAAGATGGTTTATTAGATGATGAGCTTTCGTGGGCCAGACCCACTTCCTCAGATCAAATAGTGGAAAAAAATATATACCAAAGGATACAATTAAAAAAATGAACAAATATGAAAAGGACAAATCACATT